TGAGGCTGCCGAAATGAGGAGGGTGTAGCTGGTGACGGGCAAGATAGCGGGGCGTGGCCGCTGTCAGTTGGTGACCAATGATGTGTTGTTGATTCAGAGGCCATTGTACTACTGATTGGCACAATCAGGTGGTGTAGGTGGTGATGGTGTCGATGTGGTAATGATTCAAGAAGGCGATGTTGCATGATGCACGAATTGTTTGATTTGTTCATGAATGTAGGTGTCACTTTAATGGGGTCTTGGGGATTCGGTATTCCCTTAGGATGACTTTTCGCCGGTTTTTGTCATTGTTTACACTGATCCCCCAACCACGCCACATGAGTGGGTGAGTAGTCACCCCCGGCATCCTACTGTCGACCTTATTTGTATCAATCCGCTTTTATCCATTAGGTCAATGGCACCCCTGACTCGCATAAATGCTGGCATTGTGGCAGATCACTGGCACTTTAGGTGACGCGATTGATGCTCTCTACACGAGCTTTGGTCTTGTTCTTGCATTAGCGTGGGAAGGTCGGTTTTAGCATCAACAAGGGATCTGAAACCGTTATCTGAGAGGTTTCTTTTGGCTACGGGAAAACGTGTCATGGGGAGCAAAATTGTTGGCCAAGTTTATGCTTGCTGTTGTTTCACCGTCGTGTAAATTACGTAGTTGACATGAATTAGACGCAAGTAGTCAGCACTTGACAGATTTCTACCTAAATACATTTTTGGGTATTTGGCACATGGCTAATGCATAGCAGTTTGGTGGGAATTAAAATTAAATAATCGACCGAAACCTGGAGTAGGCGGTTCGCCAGACACGCACGCATGGAAGGCGGTTGAGGCTTTCAGCAGTTGGGGATGTGTGGCTAAAATAGCCACAGAGAGTGCTTGTGTGTTAATAATCCTCCGCTACACGCCCTATTTGCATCAATATTTTATTTTAGGAAATTTGATTTGCCATTTGCGTGCATGCGGTTGTTATGCTGCATAAGATGCGGAGGGGCCTGGCAGATGGCAAATAGGCAGTCATAATACAATCGCGCGCTTCCATAAGACAAATTAGTGTGACTCGAGACTTGATCTACACTAGTCAATACCTCTCTTACGTCATAGTTGCATGGCGCGATGGAATGTACTTGCATTGTTTTGTTGTTGCTGCGTTTCTAGATTATGAAAATATTTCATCTGCAAGAAACTAATGTGACGGAGAGCGACACTAGCAGAGTGCAGAATCACGGGAGTTGAGAGTCAGGGGTGGCGCGTGAGTGCAGCAGCTACTCTTCTACGGAATTATCGATTTCATTGGCTGGCTGGCTGAGTCATCGCTGTTTCTCATTGGCCATTGTTGTCAGTCGCCTGTTATGCACACACACTCGCGCACACAATGGCACACTTGGCCGACGTGACGCCAATAAACGATTGTGACTACTGTCGCGTCTCCCACCTCTGTCCCCGGATTGTTGTTGCAGGCGACCAAGCCAGGGTAGTTGATTTCTTTCAAATCTTTTTTACAACGCTCTCTTCTGTTTACACTGAGCAAAAAGCACTGGAAAAAAGCACTTCAGTCAACTTTGGTCGATTCAGCTTCAACGCGCGTGCTTGATGGTTACAAATTGAGACCCATTTTCGCAATGTGATGGTTACTTAACGAGTTTTTACATATACGTGTCCACAGCAAACTCGAACCCTGATACCGGAGACCCACATCAATATTTTGTACCGATAAACCTTTGTATTTGCCCCTACACCCTCTTAACATGGGCAAGCACGCTACAATACTAGGGCTCGGGTATTCTAGAGTAGCGATGTATAAGGACGCAGAGGAGCTTTACCACGCTGGCCTCAGAAAAATTCTGTCTCTGCGATCCAATGGCATGAGAGGAAGATAGGCAGCCAACCAGAGAAAGACACGCATGAGAAGCGGTACATAATGAGAGGCGCAGCCAGCGTTGCAAACTCGGATGGACGGTGCCTGACGTGTGGTTCTGGCTTGTGATTAGTCAATAAAGCCTGTTTTGTTGTACCAGTCATCTTCATACTAGGACTCGAGTATTCAACAGCAGCGTGGCGGCAGAGGGCCGCCATCATACTGTTCAGCCATTGGTAGAGAGCCGGTGACGCGCCGCGGTTGCGGCATCACGTGAGAGGTGGTGTGACTTCCGGTTGCGTGGGGCTGTAGGGTTTCGAATGGAGCTTAGAGCCTGAATATCCAATCACCTCGTTAGTTTATCTTTCCATTTCTAGAAGCCAAGCCGGAGCCAATGGGCAGCCACGAGCGATCCGGGCCAAATAAGTAGACATTGTGAACCTTAATCCTCATATTGGAGATTCCTGGTTATGACTTCTATCAATAAATCCTGATACCTGCCCGCACGTCCTCTTATCATGTCCAGGCATGTCGCAGTAGCGACGCGTAAGAGCTCAACTTCCAGAATATTAGGTTCTACTCATTAACGCGAGACGGATAGAGGGTTGGTGTACCATAGGGCTAATTAGTAGGGGCCCTTGTTCATAAATTTTCACCGAATGACCACTTTGTTTACTTCAGGTCAAAAAAAGAAGATATTGAACCCAACTTTTACTTAATTACATTGCAATGCAAGCATGTTATTCCACTCAGTGTTTGCCCTTTTTTAGTTTTTGGGTACTCCCATGGCCAAAGATTTCATTGCAGGAAAAATGCATGGAATATTTTGACTGTTTATTATGAAAAACGGTTTCCCAGTGGAAAGCAGATAATAGTATATTATTTCTATAATAATAAGATCACGCGTCAACACAGAGGAGAGTGAGGATCGGACTAATAAGTACAAAAAAACCGAAAAGCAAAAGGCAAATCGCGAGACCGCTTGCGAGCGTCATGATTGTCCCAGCAGCACGGAGGTGTATCACGGCCGGAAGAACGTAGCAGATGAGAGCTCCCGCTAGGCTTCCAGTGTGGGCCAAAATCACCTCAACTAAAATTAATGTTAATAAACCCAATTTTGATGCACAGGTTAGCTTGCGCTCCCGTCCTCTTCTACGTGCAACAGACGGACAACTCCGCAAAATGATCATGTGTCCTACACGAATCTAGTTTACGTTGCATTCTAGGGTAGTTTTTCATCAGGGTGGTCGTATCTGTTACCTGTGGAGACTTAGCTTTAGGAAAGTGATGGCAACTCAGGGTGGAATTTTACGCTCGACTACAAATACGCGCACCTAAGGTGTTCCAATGCATTCATTTGAGGCCAATGATGTCCGTCAATAATGCAAATTACCGAACAAATCTGCCTATATGAATGTTAATCACACGGTACCTCAAGCATGTCAACGAGAAAGTTTAGACCAGTCATATTAACTTGCATACTTAGAGAGAATGCTAAAGTAAAGCGATCGGAGGGAAATGTAGTGAGGCTATTTAGATCTGAATTGGGAAGGGTACAAGGTGCGTAGACTAGATTATTTTCGCATAAGAGCTTGCCAAAATACTTTTACGACCTTTCGCCGGGTATACAAAACTTAGTACATTCTAATTAGTGGAATTAGTGTCCAGGTATTTTACAATCGGATAAGGACTATGAGAAGGGCGCTGATTGGTAAAAAATGGGGCAAAGGTGGCACGGCTATCGGACCTAAGCAATAAATTTTAGAAACTAATTGCAAATTATTAGGCCAGGCGTACCTCTGTTCGTGGTTTGGCTGACGATTACAGACATTGCGATGGTGGCTGCAGTAAGCCATCGAAACCTCGAGTTCGGGATCACTAGGCCGGGTTCTGCACATAATGGTCCATTGTCAAACTAAAAGTAAGCAACGCACAGGAGATGGTGTTGCATCAACCTGCTCGATGAAACGTTGAGAGCATGAAATGGCGCAAAGTAGCCTTCGATTGAAAACGACAATCATTCAGTCATAGCTTATAAGGTAGTGCGTGGTGTACTTAACGACCAAAGCACGACAGGCTGCGTCAGCTTATCCAAATCACTTCAAAACGGTTAGTGTGAATTTGCCTGTGATGGTGACTTTTCGTCCGCCTCGTCTCGTTTTAGTGTGTGGTGAATCGTGTTGATTCACGTTAAACACCCGGTCGTCGCAGCCTCACACACATGTCCCCTCCGTTCACGACCTGCCCGTCAGTCACGTGAGGCCGCTAGTTCATTAACCACTCTACGTGTCCTACCACACCACCCGCTTTGTCATGTGACCTCACATACGCCTGTGTTTATATTTGTACATGTCCACTCAACCGTAATTGTACACGACACAACTTGGCTGAGCGGTCTAGCAAACGATTGTGCCTTCTCCACTCCGGTCTTCCTCATTTTCGCGGGAACACAGGTTAACGTATTCGGCGTAGATTGTCGCGGTGGCCCCGGCGTGGTTCAAGACAACATGCCGGGACCCTCAACAAGTGCTTTTACATTACATTTGAATCACACAAGCGGCACTAATAAGACCGATTCCCAATCAAGTAATGGGTACAGTACGAAGTGCCTTCTAAGGGAAAACTTACAAAGCAATGTTTAAAGGATTGCATTTAGATGGCATCGCTCTAGGCACCTTTTTTTACACTTGTAGACTACCAGTACTTCCTGCTTTGCGGGTACAGTATTAAGACTGACTTTCAATCACGTTGACAAATTGCTATCCCTTACATTGACAAAGCCATTACCAGGATAGTTGCATTTATGAATAGCCAAATCTCCTATGGGAGCGAAAACTAAAGTTCAGTTTTTGTCAAAATCTTACATTAATCACTGTGTTTATGAGAAGAGTTCCTTATGAAAGACATGGTAATTCGCAAAACACAAACATTTGGCATGACGATGCTATGGGATTTAACTGTCGGCCATTTCATGTCTTATCGGTTTTTGAGTTAATTCGAGAGTGCTGTGTTTGAAAAGTGTGACAAACGTGTATAGTACACAGCATCCATGTATGCCGTTGAAGACAATATAAACCGCAGTTCAATTTATCGGTCCACTTTATAAGTATTTGAGGCACCATGTAATACGAAGATTAGCCCGAATTTTTTACCAGGTTTGCATGACAAACAGCCAATTTACATAGTTGAAGTTAGTGGATTTGTCTAATCAGAATATTTCGTGAAGACCACCACTCAATACTAAATCACAGACATTCAAAATCCAACTTACCTCTTCGAATAGGAGGCTATGCAAAGAAGTGCGAAGAGGAAAAAGAATCAATGGGAATGACGCCATCATAGTGTACAGAAAACTCAACCGAATATAGGCTGCATGGAAATCTTCAGGGTACATGTTCAGGATGTTTCCCGCAACAGTGCTTCCGGGTCCGTTGTAAAATGCAATATACCCGAAGAAGCCCGCCTGAACGATAATAGAGAACACAGAAATCAATTAGACGAAAATAAGAGGGAGAGTGACAACAAAAAATTATATCTGGAATCTCGTCCAGCAGTTGGCTCGAGTCAAGAAAGGTACTAAAACCTTGCCTCATTTCCCTTACCTAATAATTCTATTTGAGAAAAGCGCTAGTAGGAAGCCGATAAATTAAACTTGGTATGACGCATGGTTGGCAGTCTATTTTGGCAGACCGGATCGTAGTAACTTCCTTACATTAAAAGAACGGTATAAGCTAAGTTGCAGTACTCACCGTCAAATAGCAGATCAAAATGAATCCAACGGCCCACACTAGCACTCTTTTCATGTTATAATAAGACGCGCTCTTTAGACTTGAATAAATGGTGTTTACCTGTCTAAATAACATGAAAAATCACACATTATAAGAGATCAGCAAGTTATATTTCTTGCTTTTAGAATTATCTTACACTTGACAACAGAGGGAGCTCGCAAGAATTGGTGCGCAATGGACCAGGCCCTCAGGTCGCCACAGTCGGAAGTGCAGAACAACGAAGTCAGCGGAAAGAATTTTCGGGACCGCGTATCCAATTACCAACTATAAAGAAAACATTACAAATACCTACGCTATACTATACTATATGAAAATAAACCATCAATTAAAAGTACTCACGCTCAGCAAGAAGATTGAATAAAGAATTACTGCAACGGAACTAGCCGCACTAAGAGCTTCGATGCGCCGAATAAAGCAGAACGGAGAAACCAAGGTGAGACTAAAGAGCAATGCGGGAAATCTAATTGCTAAGGTGGGCTAGGGAAATATAGGTAATACGAGGTTACTCACCTTTATTCCACCCACTGTCGCAAAAACATCAGTACTCATGTCACTAATGGCAACATTCAATCCAACTAACATTCCAAACAGAAAACCAATAGTACTATAGATAATGATACATCGTTATTACTTTACCTCAATTCAACTAGGCGTTTTCCCAAGAGACCATGTGATTTGTAGGCTTTAACAAAAATGATTTAGACACTAAAACAAACCTGCTTGTTCAAGAGAGTCACATCGAAACTTAACAGTAGTCCGCAGAATTGAGGTACACGAAAAAAATGTTGCAACGGCCACTACCATCAGAGCCGTTATAGCTAGCAAAATACCACACTTGCTAAATAAATTACCGATGAACAGAGGCGTACTTCATGAAAACAGAAGGGCATTGCGAGTATGCCCACTCCAATGTTACTATTTATAAGATTTAAAATCGGTGACAATAATATCCTAAAATTCTGGTCATTCTGCAAATGCAACAAAAACACAAACAAACCATTAACCTTGGTGTCTACCCTAACGGGTTATTTAGAAAAAGGCTTGGCTTTGTGGTTGGTGGTTGTGGGTCACCCAATTAAATTTCTACAAATGCTTTTAACACTGCGGTAAAACATAACATTCCAAATCGAAAGCTGATGACACAAGTTTGACAAATGTTCCTGACAAATTAAATGCACAAATTTAAAATAATATTATAAAACCACAAGAATTCTTGTTTAGGAAAAAATAGGAGTAAGAATGCGTTCGTTTGAGTTTATAGCGCACTTCCGTGGCTGTTTCTGAAAACTAAAACGTTAACTTTATCTTAACTGTGACTGAAACTTTGAGTCCTAACTAATAGGAGGACAAAAAATAATTTATAAAATACTTCTAACATACTTTTTTTCAAAACCGTGATTTTTTAAATTTTAAGAATTTACTTAGACACAGTCTTCCAGGATATTTATGATTTATTTAAAAGAAAGTTAATGGTAACCAAATTAATTAAAATGGCTGCTACCGTACGTGTAAGTGAATTGGAAACCACTTAAATAATAATCAAATAACGACGTGCAACATTCGCAGTTTTTGTCACCTTCGAGAAGCTACCACGGTTTGCTTTTTCAATTCGTAATATACATAACCATTGTTTTAAATGTTTGTAAAAAAACTCTCAGTAATGTATGAAGTAGTTCCTTGTTAACAATTGGATAAATTAATTTCGATTGCTTAATGTTAGCTACCCACGTGAACTTGTAGAACACTCGAGCCCTATTATGAAGAAGACTGGTAAAACAGAACAGGCTTTATTAATAAGTCAGAAGCCAGAATCACACTTCAGGCGTCGTCCGTCCGACTCTGCCACACAGTCTGTGCCGTTCATTACATACTGCTCCTCATTCGTGTCTGTCTCTGGTTGGCTGCCTATCTTCCTCGCATGCCATTAGATCGCAGCGGGACAGGGGATTGGCTGAGGATAACGTGGTTTTTATGTCTCTTTGCCTTTATTCATCTCTACACGGCACCACATACTCATTCTCTCTTTAAGACTGTTGTTCGGCATAACGCGTATAAACGGTGGTATTCTCTATCTCCTTTTTGCCCACATGTCGTTCTGCTGTTCCCAGCAGATTTCCCCATATGAAGTTATCAACTCGGTTTAAATAAATCCTTAAAAACCCCAATGACAAGAGAAAGCGAGAGACAAGTTTGAATGTTGTTCGTCTTCGACACCTACTTCCTAGTATCAAACAAGGTGACAGGTCCATTTTCCAACTCCTTTGACATATGTGATATCTGGCTGGGGTTGACAAGGCGAATGACTGCTTTGCATCAGGTGTAACTTGAATACCCCTAAGCAACCACAAATGCAATAATGTCTATTGGACAAACTCGTCCAAATAGGTACTAAAAATCACCAGTATTTCTTCCAAGGACTAAAAAACAGAACCATCTCATTTGGCGCAACTGCTAGCACAAACAATTTGTGCCTTAGCAATTTGCAAGCACGGCTGGCTGCTATCCTTTCGAGACTTTAGTAACTGTAGTCTGAGCAACCACAACGACCAAAGAGCCATGTTTCACGTCTTGGCCAACCTTGTTAACCCAAGAATCAACCTGACCTGTGATTATACCATTAGCCCTATGGTGACCAGGCATGTGCTTGTAAATGTTCATGCAGCTACCTTAGGCCTTTGAGCCGTCAATTTTACCTTCCGGGAACACGAGGGTTAAATAGTAACAACGACGTCTGATTTTGACGCTAAATCTAGTCGCCTATTTAACTTCCCCTATTCATGGAGCAGTTCAAAATTTTCTTTTGATGCTGCTGCCAAGGTTAGAGTAATTACCCCCCCCCCCCATTTGGAAAAAAGCCATTTCAAGTCATTTCGTCTACAATTTATGGACGCAATCAATTCTCTGCTCCTTTAAACGTCCCCAAAACTGGCATTATTATTTCATTCGAAAAATTTGACTTCCGACTTATGCTTTTTTTGCTTTGCGTAATGCAACACAGACTTTGTAGAGATATGTGGCCATGTTCCGTGTGGTTTCGACTTTGTATTTGTCTATATTGATTATAATCTTATTTTCAGCAAAGACAGCGACAAGCATTTACTACTCCTGTGGGAAGTTTCTACTCGCCTTAATGCTTCTGCATCACAATTAACCCCCAAAATCTATTATTGAAGTGGTCGGTGTTGAGTTTCCAGTATATTAACTTGCTGTAGATGATATTAGACACCTGACCGAGAAAGCAACAGCCATTCGGGGGTGTCAAATGTCTGCATTACCCCGTAGCTCACGACGTAGGGTGTGTTGCGAAGCTCGACAAATTTACTAATTGATCTAGAAGCCTGTCCCTACAGGCAATAAGCCGTCAGTTTATATAGAATCGGTAAAGGTCGATCCCTGAACAAACGTAGTTAAGTGAAGTCCATCCACGTAAATCGAATGTATCATGTTCGGTTGTTCACGCTTGCTAACTATCCACTGGCGGCTAGCCACAGGTTTATTCCACATGTAAGCAAAATTTTGTCTAACTGACTTGACCAACTGTTCACAGTTTACAGAATTCGCCACGTTAATGCGACGGATGAACTTTTACTTGATACACTCTACAGAACACATATTCACACACTCTCAATTCCTGATATCGATCTTGAAAAGTTAATTGCAGTTCAGAAAAATGATCCGGACTAAAGACAGCTTTGTCAAAGTTATAGTCTAGAGCTATTCTTTTACCCGTTCTCTAGTACGGTCGATTTCCCCAGCTGTGATCGTTACATCTGATGGAGAACTTTAATTCTGTGATAAACTACGGTGTCATCGCCCTTCGTGACTCGTTTTACATCATCAAAACCACTCTGGACCTTCTCTGCCTGGATTAGCCCGACAAATTAGGTTTGTTGGTGTTCCAATCAACTTCTAACGGTCTAAAGTCTTCACATACCTCCGATGAATATTTCACGGACATTATCAGCTTTGAGACAAGTCACTCTTCGCATCCTACCGGATACCACACCGCTATTCCGTCCAAAAATTCCTGTCTCCCATTCTTCGAATACCTATGCTGGGTGCTTAGCCGCTACGCCCTAAAATGAAAGTCTTATTACTTCTCCCACATTCCAACAGATCGACCCTCTGTCGTCGTACTAGGCAAATCTATATTTGCGCCGACATTTCCAATGATCTTTGTAGCGGCTTCACTTAACCCTACCTAACAACCCGAGAAGAGAGGCGATAGCGGACACGACCGTTTACTAGCGTTAGGAGAGCCAAGTGTGTGGATGAGTGAACGGATGACAAACATCTGATAACAGTAACCAATGGAAAAGGGGATGGGTCATTGGCACTTTCAGGTCAGTAAGCAGGGTTCACTTAGGTCTCGATCGCTGCTAATCTGCTACAAGTACTCCGCCCTCTCCCCCGAGAGTGTGAGCTGCGAAAAAGTAAACGCTTGAGAATTATCTACGAGAATCAGCAAAGTGGACGATGGGCCTCAGGGGTCAGCCGAAACGGGAGGCGGGGCAGGTTGGGGATACGGGAGTGCGTTGAGTTTTTCGTTGCCTAGGCATGGAGAAGGAACATTGGTATCATCTGTATAAGCAACTTTGAGATAGTTTACGCTCACAATATCCAGTAGTCCGACTTTGTCAATCATGAAAAATTTGTTGAGGCGTTTTGCCACTTCAAATGGGCCATCGTAGGGTAGTTGGCAGGTTTTTTTGACACCACCGACGCGGAAAAATACATAAGCGGGTAAACGTGGTTGAATCTGTGCCTGCCGTGAGGACATTCTTGTAGGAGTTGGTCTAATTTCCTTCATGAAGAACTTTAATTGTTCGACATAGGATGAAGATGGTAACTCAGTAGTGTGGTCACAGTTGGTGGCCACTTCACTGGGCAGATCCAAAGTTGTACCAAATACAAGTTCTGCTTGCGTGGAGTCAATATCTTCCTTTACCGTATTCCCAATGGCTCATAAAACCAATGGTAATGAGTACGACCAGTGATTCGAGGCAGGTTTTGCAATAATGGAAACGCTCAACTAAGCCATTGGTTGCTGGAATATATGCTATAGTTCGAAAATGCTTGCATGCAAGGTGGTGATTTAGATCTTACAACAAACAAGACGTGAATTGTGCTCTGCGGCCAGATATAAGAGAACTGAGAACGCCGAATGACGAAACCCATGATCCCATAAATGCGTGGGCAATGGAGGCTTCGAGCAACATTACCCAACAGGAATGAAGTCTGTGGAAGGACAGAGTCAACCCCTTATTAGAGGACTTTACGAAGTCGTCGTCGTGTGTGTTGGCGTTTGCATGCATATTTATAGATTAGGTGCGTGATTCATATATGAACCAACTTCGAGACCTAGGTGTGAGGATAATCCGAGATAAATGTTCGTGAGAATGAAGTGGGAGGGGGGAGGGTTCCGGATCCGTGCGGTTGGTGAGATGCTGAGGAAAGGGGTTCCCAGTGTCGGAAGTTGGAGTAATCAGATTAGCGAGTGTGAATCCACGCGGTTCACAAGAGCTTCTGTCTAATCTTCAACCTAGATTGCAATTCACATCCCGAGAACAACCGACCCATTCATTAGACGTCTCAACCAAGGTACGATCCACCGCAGCGCACCTTTCAGGGGCTAACTAGTTATTATTTGGCATTTCTACCTTCACTGCACAGAACCTGGCAACCCTCAAAGCGCTTGCACGAAAAGGCGTGCCCTGGTTATGATCTCGCGAGTGTACAAGATTGTGCACCCACTCGCTCCAATGCCAAGTTCTGACCTATTGCTGACTCGAGTGACCATTGCAGCAGCCAACGCGTCTACTCATCGCGTCCAGCTCTACCGAACACGCACACGACAACACGAAAAATACTCTAATCCACGTATCTCGCTCTTGTCTAATAACTAATAGCCATAGGTAGCCGTTAGCGCGATTGACACAAATTGAGGAAAATTTACAGTACTCAAGACTTCGACACCGCGCAAAATTAATAAATCGAATACACTTACTTTAAAACAATCCAATGAGTTGTTTTAGAATATTAGGCAGGAGTAGCAAAAGGAAATTCATTTTAATTTATCATCTTCAATAACCCTGCGTGCACAACGTTAAAGAAAGTAAGTTCAGTTGAAGATAAGCCAAATGTATTTAACAAAATAGAGTCAAAGAAAGGTCACAAGGGATTATGTACCGGAAAAACAAGGCACGTCGAGTGCTAAAGTCGTAGCACGTGACTGGAGGCGTAATCGATCATGTGGGAATAAGGAACTAGCCGGTCGTTTTACCACTTTGGCTAAACGGGAAAACAAAACATCAAAAAAATACTACAAAAACAGTTTCAGGCATTTGAGATAAGTAATTGAATCTAGCGAATGAAAACGTTACGACTTTGGATGCGTTAAAAGACGGTCAAAAACGAATTTAATGTACAAATCCCTTTAGCGTAACACAAGATACCTCAAAATGTTGGTAGTGATTCCGCGTTTGCCAGGTGTTCACTAAGGTAACATACTAGTCAATTGGAGATCAATTAAGAAACAGATTACGAAAGTGTCAAGCAGACATGTTTTAAAGCGACTTGAAGTTCCAATGTGACACACTTTTGTACCTTGATGTTGACATGATATTTATCTACATTTGGTCGTGTTAAAATTTCATCACCATTTTGACCGATTCTATAAATGATAACGATGCATGGGAGAATAAAGTATCGGCCCACAAACGTCGGCAAATCCAAGAAAAAACCTTTGTTTACACAGCAATTTAAAACCGCAAGTATTCGGCTAGTTGCAGTTACCTGACATGTTACGTAAAATTAAAATGAAACGCATCATTTATTGCTTTAGAACTAGAAATAAATGCACATCTAATAACAACTTACGTCCCACTTGTTTTTCAAAATGCGAACTGTTTCAGCAGAAAGAATGGGTCCATAAAAAGGGTGCCACTGAGCAATATAAAAAATAAGCCAACTACAAAAACATTATATGTGAACGAAACTTACAAAAGATAACAGCAAACTGAAGTTAAAACAAGCGATACTATCCACAACCTAACAACGGTAACAAAGAAAAGTACACATACCCTCTATTAGGACTTTTGGGTACAAAAAGGGGTCCAAGAATCAACACAAGTGCCCAAAAGCCTGAGAGAACCACCACTGGAAGATAAAGGCCGATTTGCATTTTCCAAATCAACGAACACGGAAAAAGAAGTGGTTAGTAAAACAAAGTTGCAGCCAGAAGAAAACATATATTGTTTATACATCATTTAATATCCATCTTAATTAGCCTTAAGCTCTATTATAATTTTTTCTATTATTAAAAACGTAGTCACTACAATATTGAGGTAAGAAAATGGCATTCGATTTTTACCTGACCGGGAGTGAAGACGGTGAGGACCAGTTGCTACGACAATAAATTCATGCCTCATCAACTTTATGATATGATCGATTCTGACCAATTACTTGCCTATCTCAAAATATATTTAAAAATAAATTTTGTAATATATTGTTTATCTTCGGCAGAATTTATTTTACAGCTCGTTAATTTTATAAATGTGCGTAAAACCCATATTTTATTTGCTGTGTTATAAATAGCGGAATTGAATTTCCCCTACTTAAGTCTGCATTAAAATTAAAACTTCCCCGAAATATACAAAGGATGTAAAGCAATTTTTTTGACTCAAAGTTTGTTATTAATAATTTAATTTATCTGTGTTGAACCTCCTCTAAAATTATATTTGTTTCTATTTAAGTCTGCAAAAGTTTGAGACATAAATCTGGGACAGGGGTTGCCGTAAGCTGGTTTGTCCGAAATGTTTTGCATAACCATTTATTATAAAATTTTGTATTAAATAGTCACCAATCGAGAAATTATTCTTCTCAAAAAATCCAAAGGTTTTTTGTTGGGTGAGTTAATCCCGTTGGCCCCCGCAAATAATTTATTTAAGGAAATTTGGTAATTAATTTGAGGTGTTATTTACGAAAAAAATCAAATTTATTAAACATTTGTAACTTTTACCAAAGTTTTGCAGTCGTGAAAATGTTTGCGGTGTGCTGAGAGTTTTATAAATTATGGAACGGAATTCAGTCTTGAAAATCCTATTAACCGTACCTAGCTAAATTTATCAAGTTTGGATTATGAAGGTAACAGCATCGTGGAATCACCACAGATTTGTAAGAAAAATATTTGAGAATAACCTGAGTGTGATATTTGCTACCAGGTCAATCAGAAACAGTTAACAAAAGACGTCAACTATGAATGGAAATTTCCCAAAATTTTTACAAATAATTGGGTGGGATAAGGAACGCGTGTCGGTCGTGGATGGCTAAAAGCTTAGACATTAATCTAAAGAAGGAGACGAGGAACTATCTGATGTTCGAAGGCATCACTGAGCTAAAATTGAACTACTGAGCCAAAGTCTTTGCTAGATTTATTGACGTAAATTTTTGCATTAATACTTTGCACTACTCGATTCTCGCAAACATTTAGGAGCCTGAGAAGTAGTTGGGCGCAAAATATTGTTTTGTTTTCTAAAATCAAGATACAAAATTGTCAATGAAATATTTAAGTGCAATTAGTTTTTGGGCAAATGCAAAAGGATAGCAGAAAAGGTAATGCTCCGTGACTGAATTCCAAAAATTACAGATTTTGTTTAAATTATCACACCTCTGCCTCATAATGTTAAGAATCAGCAAGGCTATAAGTAAAAATCCTATCCTTACGAGTTGAAATCAACTTGAAATCACATTTAAAGAGGTAATACGGAGAGCTTAAGATAGTTCCAGAAATACTTGGGTCCGACGCCCTTTGTTGTCACACGTTGACTAGAAATGAGAGGTAAGAAAAAAGGCAAGACGGAAGCTCAAATGTTCATTGTGTCAGTAAAAAAGAAAGTCAATTATGTGTCACCTAGCACCGGTATAAATAAAAACGGCTTCAATTTTATTCACAGAGCAGAAGTCATTACTTGAGACGCAGACGGAAATTATATGCTCGAACTAAAATTTGATTGTGTTCATGTTTCCTCACGCCTGCTCAGAAAAACCTTGAGCTATGTAGGTTTGCAGTAGGGTTAATTTGATACACTCAGAGTGCATTTTATGCGTAGTTGCTAAAGCTTGCATGAGTACGTTCGGTGAATAACCATGTCGCGGTTACTTTGCCAGAGTTCAAGTCCAAGCAAATTAGTAATGACCAAAAGACGGTTTAAAAATTTGCTTTCTTGTCTTTCCTCAAATACTTTCATCTCATTTCACAAGGCATTTGCAAATTAATTATAGAGAATAAACTGTTCCTCAACATTTTAGCCGCTCGACCACATTTCTTACCCTAGTAAACGAATCCCAAGGACGACTTTTAATTTTTAATGAGCAAACTACTCGATTGGTTAGCCGAATTGAAATCTTATGTGGTGATTGGTCAAGTGGGTTGCATTAACTGTTCCTGTAAAAAACTACTCGAATCCTTTTTGCAAATGCTCGGCGGCGTCTACCACTGCAAGGTAAGAATCCCTAAAGACATTCAAGGGAAACTTTTATGCATCTGGTGGGGAATAATTGCTTTTACCAAGCGATTTAGTGGTCATTAAACAATGTGGCTTTGTATTTCATTGGCCACTTGGTGAACTTGCTCAATGGCAAAAATTTAGATTCAACTTATGTGGTTTAAGTGGCATAAGTAATACAGTGTTTAATGTTTCAATGCCAGACAATTCCTGTTTGTCGAATTTGTGTGAATACAGCAATGCTCCGGTTAATGCAGATAAGATAATTTGAATTTGTGGTTTATTGTTTATCTACAGGTCTGTTAATTATTTCTAAACGGATTGGGTTCCTTTCGAATTCTTTTTAATAAAAAAAATCATCCATTCTGATTCATTGCAATTCGATTGAATTAGGGTTTAAACCAAAGCATGATGCTTAGTTTAATTGACGTTGACGAGTATTCAGACATACTAAGTAACCTCCACGCTAAAGTATGGAGCTTAGTATGTTTTCAGTGATAGCTGATTCTGCAAACTACAAAAAAAATGTTGGCTAGAGTTTTGGACAGCAGATGTAAAAAGGATTAAGAAAATAATTCAAATATGATTGAATTTCAAGAAAAAAATGTCCGCTTTTGCAATTTGCACATAAATATTTTAGTACAATATTCTGCCGACAATTAAGCCCTTACCCTTTATGAAGCTTAAGTTATTCATTTAATTTGCAGTTAATTATTAGCATTGTAAATCCTTAATGAGGGCATTAAAGTTAGCAGATTTCTTATAAAGTGGCAGTCTTAATTGTTATGTTATAATCATTCAATTTAAAATTTAAACGAGATGTTTGAGAAACACGATTTGACTTGTAGTTATCTCCATGAATCAAGTATTTTCTCTCATTAAGCGTGTGACGTGTAATATTATCATCTGACAAAATTAGGGTACACCTAACTATAGCATACAAATATTTTGAATGCTTTTAGAATTTTATCGTTTCTAATTTCCCGCAGGGAGCTAGATATCTAAAAGATCAGAGATTTGTTTTTAAAGCTAAATGAACCCATTCACGTGGCGAAGTTTAACTGCGAAAAAAGTGGATATAGTAGGCATGAACTTGTGCACAATCAGAATTTAAACGAACAATACTTCAATGGTTATCAAAAGCGTATATATTTGTGGTTGTTCTGCTACTCATGCCAGGGAATTATCGGTAAAGCTATATTTTTTGGACAAATGCTGCTTTTTTAGCATTAATTGCATGGCTGAATAAATTAATCCAAAGACCACGAAAGTTTTCGAACGCCAAATGTGTTGAAAAGGAAAGTGGAAAGTCATTTTTTCTGGTTCTTTATGATTGCATGAAATGTTAGATTCCCGTAATAACAACGCAAAAATGAAAATTTATTTAGTCACCTGCATATTGTGGGTACCCTCGTTTAGTGGACAAAAAGGTTAAATTCTTAACCCATGTAGTTTTGTGCTCTACGCATCCAAATACGTTATATCCAAATCTCTACTTCGTGTAAGACACCCTTATTAATAAGCGCAACATTTTGCAATGGCAGAGTTAATATTGGAGTAGTGATAACTAGGGTAGTCCATGTAACTTTTGTCCATCGTTCACACAATGTAATCGGGATTTTGGATGTTGCACATGCAAATACTTCTGATACTTCTGCAGGTATGTTACGTTTGCCCGTAACAAAGAGAAAACCACTCAAATAACGGAACCAGATCCTTTGTTGACGCTATCACCGACCTTCCCAAGCTAATGCAAGAACAAGACCGGAGTTCGTGTAGAGAGCTTCAATCGTGTCAGCCACGTGCAGAGTGGGTTGTCAAAAGTGAAACTAATTCAAATCAAGTTTGACCTTGACCTGATAGAAAGCGCAATAAAGCACAAGCTTGTGAATTAGTGTAAATTGTGTCAGAAACCAACGACGAGGAATCTTGGGGTATCTTGGATCCCCAATAAGGTAACAACTTTCGAAAACGGCCTTTAGACAGACGGAAAGCCCTGCGAAAAATGAAACTAGTACTCGCTTGTTAGGTGGACTTGATTGGTTTTAAATGGAAACAAATTGCCGCTACATTATGGCAAATAAAAAATGATAGCCTTTGACTTAGCCAAAAGTAAAATCATGGTTGGAACTTATCGAAAGCTTTTGCTTCTTTGCTGCAGATAGTGCAAAAACCGTCATTGGGCATCATTCAGCATCATCCTAGGATTATTCCCTAAACACTTACAAGCATAGTTTATTGCTTTCATTTACAAAGAACTGTTGGGAAGATTGTAATTTAGCACTCACAGGGATAATCTTGCAGCAATTATCTATTCGCCGCGATACAATTTTTTCCATTTGTCATTTTTCTTTTTAATTTTTTTTAATCTGAGTTCCATTGTTGCTGACTACATTATATAGTCCACTCTTGACCGCTTCTGTTCTCTTATTGTTATCTTAATACTCTGGGCTATATGTTGACACGAGACGCTGGCGACCTTGACGCTGTGTAAACGCTGCACCTTTTTGTGGTCGATGAAATTTATGCTGGTATCGCTTAATCTTTGGCAATGAAGCTCACCAATGCTGGTTCTATGGGCTCCAGGTCAAGTTACGGAGTTTGAAAGTAAGGACTTTTGGTACTGGCGATGTTTACTGCCAATGTCGACTTCAGTCACCGCCTGTTTCTAAATGCCAGGTAATCTGGAATGCGATTTCTGATTAATTCGAGCGCTGGTAAATCAGTTATTTTAACAACACATATCGGAAATCAATCTTCCGATCCTTCCGCGTCCTCAAAGCAGCTCATTGGTTACCTATTTCGGCACATTAATAGACATCGTTATTTTGCACCGTCAGTTCCGTCGAGTTTCTCAAAATTGGCAGTGCATTACTTAATCATAGGCGCGGATCTCCTAAATCTTTCCGGTCCCCACGTCAATCTCAAAAACTAGGGACTTTTGTCAAGTGTAATCCACAAAGAGCGGCCACAAACTTCCTGTCAAATATGGGACTTCATTTATTCAGTTGACGAAATGCACCCTAACCGCGTAAACTCAGTATTAACGCAGACTGGATTTTGACAGACGACAACCCACAACAATTTGACTCGTGGTGGTCCGGTCAATGACAGAGTAATTTACTACTGTTCTCTGTGACACCCCTGAGCAGACACTAATAGAAACATTACAGCCTATGATAGTTTGTTGTGGGCCCCCGCACGTGGTCGTGAACCACGCCGGGGCCACGGAATTAACCCTGGCCCGATTACGCTTCCCTGATACCCGCGATGAAGAAAAAGACCGGAGAGGACGTGGACACAACCGTTTACTTCAGAGCTCAACCACGTCGGTGTCGTTGTGTCGTGGGTGGCATTTGCGCGTGTGTATGTATACCTCGGATGTGTGAGTCATACATGCGCTAACATCGAGACCTTGGTGTGGGGATAATCCAAGAGAAATAAACGTGCGAATGCGGGGGGAGTTGAGGACATGCTGCGAAAAGCGGTCCCTGTTTTGGAGGCTGGAGTGACCGTATTAACATGTGTGAATCAATGCGATTCACAAATTCGTCGGCCAAACGGTGATCGGTCATTAGTAAATCATGTTCGTATAAAATTTGCAGGTTAGTGGCGTCGTGAGTTCACTAACGCGCTTTACATGAGATCACTTCATCTGATTGCAATTCGATAAGCGGTTCTTTGTCTGTCCTACAAGAAAAATCTGTGATTTCTAAGGTAGATTTGATGCGAGACTATTATAAAATCCACGTGGACGCGTCGGACACAAGAAAAGGGCTTTAACAACACATTCTGTCTTCCAAAACCCAATTAAAGCGAGTTAAATTTTCATTCATTATTGTTTATCAAGCGGGGGTTTTGTGTTTATGTACACTGATGACGTTCTAGTAATCGATGAAGATCACACGGGATGTAATGATCATTTTCAAGGTGGCCGATTACCAGTGAGACCCAACCGTCGCTGTCTTCGGATATTTTGTCTGTGAATATCGGATCGTTTCATGTCTTAGTTTCGTTAACGTGCTACTTTTAAATTTAACCATAATGTTTATAATGTGGCTCTTAGTTTAGAGTGCAAGCTTAGGTTTAGGATACTACACTGCAAAGGATCTTCCTTCTAAGACTAATATCAAACTATTATCAAACACAGGACCAAGCATCTGAATGCCAACGCATATACCATTGCTAAAATTAACATTACTTTGAAAACTCGAATTGCAAATTTAAAATGTTGAAAATTTTGGGGGTTCAATAAAAAAATCACCTTTTAACTTTAATTGCTTTTGTATAAATTCTTAACACACGGTAGGTGGCAGCAATTTCGGATAAGCTTCTAACACCACGAATGCAATTTCAAAAGCACAGGTGCAGCCTTTTTCGATGCCAAGTTGTCAGATTGCTACAGGATTATAGAGTGCAGTAATTCTAAGTTCCAAACATTAACGTATGCATTTCAGCATCAACTGTTTAACCTTAGAATAAATTGGATTGAGCGAAATTAAAGAAATAAGCGCAAAACAGTCATCTACTACAATAAATGCTATTGGTTTGATCTTAGTTTCTGGTCCAAATGTGGTACATCGTAATTTATTCGCGTCCATCTTCGACATAATCCTTGGAGATACTAATGGAGATAATTAAACGAATAAGTATTGTCAGGCAACAGAATTCCTGGAACTGGTTTAGATACGCCAATGATGCAAATTATTACGCAACATAATTCCTAATAAACTCAGTCAAACCTCATAAATAACACCGAAACCAGATCAATTATTTACAAAGATAAAAATCTAATTATTAAAGTTTAACATAAGTGAGGTTGGCGTAACTGATTGTACATCGTCTCTACAAAAATTTTCATTTTGCCTCTTTTGAACAACGAAATCTAGAGTGATTTGGCATTTCTTTTTTAAGGAGAGAAAACACTTTACAAATTGAGGTTGACCTTTTATCCCTACATGAACTTTTGGGTAGGCGAATACTTGAAATTTAATTAAATCTGGAATTCTGGGCAATTTTAATGCCCTGATGCTCTGTTCAGTATCTCAACTCTTTAGTTTTCAAAATTTTATGACTAATGAAATTTCAAATGAGGGGTAATTTAGAATCCACCACACAACTGCTTAGTAAAAATTAACTTTTTATAATTTCCTCTGACATAAGCATTTAGGTCCACACAAAGTCCTAATGGTGGACAATTTCCTTGCGTGAGTTATGTGCATGAGTCAAACCTATGTTCAGGTAAACCAATTTATTGACATTTAAATTTTATGGGTAATAAAGTGATGCTGAGTAGATGGCGCGATAAACGAAGGAACCAGCCGAGTTGAAAGTCACCCACCTTAATTTGTTGTAACGAAGTAACGAAAATTCCAAACGTATCAAAACCCAGCTAAAACGTGATCTATAGTCTCATTTTGAAAGTCAAGTTCCGAATTCTTTTTATTCATTACTGTGTTAAACTGATTTTTTAGGGTTTATACAATCTAAAGGCCCTCAAATTAACTACTTGTTGCGTCTTTGTTTTTGAAGAAATAATAATTAATTTTTTTAACAATAAACAGGGAATTCTGTTTTGCAAAGACCAGGATTTTACGGACACGAACAGTACATGAACAGAGCCAGACCTCTGCTGCGCAACTTTATGCAAAAGACCGGCAAAAAGCGTGGCCATTTGGATAAAGAAGGTAAGTGCCTTCACACAAGTGGCGTTGCCTATTTTATTCCAACTTTTATTGTTTTTAAAGCCGCTTCGGGAATAAATGCGCTAAGGTTGCGATGACTTAACAACGAAAATTCATTCGTCTGAGCATGTAGCTCGTTATATAGGAATTGAAGCTAACGAGGAAATAGTTGCTCTCTTCCAGGCCGTTTATATAACACTTACTAACGTCCAACATTATCTAGCAATACAAAATAAAAAATAAATCAGTTACAATAAAAATGCAGCATGCAACTTAGACTTAAAGAAAACGAGAACTACGCCAACTAAATTACTAAATTTGCAAACAAGGTAGGCTGCTGCATTTTAATTGTTAAAATAGTTACCTTGGTAGCCGAAGTCTATGTAGAACCGTTAATCTCTTAAATACAGAAAACTGTTTAATAGCAGCAATAATTGGGTCAAAATGTGTCGTATGTTTTACTCGTCTAAATATACGCATGTACTTAAACGTAATTTTAGCTAAAAAATAAACACTTACAGAAAAACATGTTCCACAAAAGGCTTACATTGGGACAAGTGAAAAATGGCCTTTTCTTATGTCATCAAACTGACAGGGTATTTGATACTAGAAAAGCTTTTTTGATGAATTTGACGAAGCTTAAAACGGCGCTTAACAACTAAGTACAGCAGTCTGCTAAAGTCACGCGGCCTATCTGCCAAATTAGAGCCTTAGACTTAGCCGGTTAATTAGTGTTTCAGCAAATACATCACCTGTTCAGGTAAAATTTCGACACATAGCAAAGAGCCATTGGTGCCAATTCTTTAATAATTATTGGAAATTAAAGATAAATCTCAGCTAACGGTATCAAACGGTTGAAAGACTAAAGTATTTATTTGCTTTGAAAGTCCTGCCAAGACCTCCACGCAACGTCACTTGGACTTTCCAACCAGAATCCACTGCCCCTTTAGCTGGTTTGTACAGTTTCTTTGACAGAACATTTAAAATTTCACTGCTTAGCTGAAAACGAGGGATATCGTTAAACACCACGTCAGCTAGGTGGTGACCGGTATTCGTCTTCTGCACTTCGAATACATGTTTACACCCTATACGGCAGAAGTAGTAAAAATTGTCGTCATACATTCTGACGAAAACGCAATAAATTTTCAAATCACAACCTTTATTCTTTATTTTTAATTCGTTATGCGTATGTGTACAGATAAATGTGTATTTTGAAATGTGTGAACTTAGTCTTTTGTTTTATAAAAGGGTCTTTGGAAGAATCAAGCAAATCTCTTCAGAATGGGCATTTTAATTACTTTGGACCAGAAGTAAGTTTTTATTTGATTTTGAAGAAAATATTGCCAATGAAATTTGAAAATTAATGTAAATTTTGTACCACGCTTTCCTTACACATTTCTTTTACATTGACTATCATGGCATTAATTAATTTGAAAACGTAACAGTTTTTAGCATGGGCTGAAATGAATTTCTTTTTCATTTTACCTTATGTTGACGATTGCACATTCCACTTTGTGCATAAACATCAAAACATACCCATGCGGTTAGCAGATATGCAAATAGAATAGCGAAATTTAGACTTCCAAGTTTAATTACTGGGCAATGTGCTCGCAGAACACTTGAAGGTAGCCTTTGGTATAATATTCCATGCGGATTAGCAAACTATCGTAATTCTACGATGAGAGGGTGAATTCAAGTTTGTAGTGTTATTAAGTTTATGTTACCTGTTCACCTTTAAAGATTGTGACGTGGACTGATCGGATCGATAAGGAAAGGGATAAGGTAAATTATACCCAGCATCATCAGGAGTACAACAATCCCGCCAACCTCTGCTTCCTCAAACAGGTTTCACTCAATGGACAAAACATTTGGCAACCAGCATTTATTAGTAGTAAGTTACTTCACAATCTTAAAAAAAAATACAAAAATTATTCAGGCCTCACTGGGATTTTAATGTGTATTTTGGTTCTAAGTGCCTGGCAATGATTTATTAAAATTGGAAATTAATTTAAGCATAAGATGGCAGCGACCCTTGTACAAACAGTGTTATTTTTAAATTTTTGGATATCGCTGGGAGAGGTTTGGTAAATACTAAAAAAATGCGATGTTTGTCCAATCAAGCCAGTGGCCTTCTTTTTGGAAGTGCAACTATTTAACTCATAGTTTGACATTTTCAAGCACAAATTTGGACGCCATAAACTTGTGCCGAAAATTTTGTGCGTGGAGTAAATTGCTGCTGTCTGCCTCAAACCGTGTTTTTTAAGTTTGAGCTAACATTTCTGACCAGGATTTTTTGAAGTTACTCGAGTGTGTTGACTTTTCATATTAGAACTTTGTGCATTACCAATAACCAACGCTGAATTAGTCGACCAAATTCCGCAGTGATCTTGAGTGTAGCACCCCATAAGACCGAAAACCAAGTTCTTGCTGTTAAAGTAATGTCTGGTTGGTGTTGTGTTGTCGGTAGATGGCAAGACCAGGTCCAAATTGGGCCTAAACTTGAACTGCCGCTTTTGCCTGTATAATTATTCACGCAGTGCCAGACGACGAATGTAATCGCAATTTGTTATTTAGTTACGGTTGTGATTTATTCCGTTCTTTTAAGTGCAATCCAAAATGTCGTAATGATGGCTTAAGCTACCTTACACCGTCTGTTCGATTTTCATGTGACAGTAATCAAACACATATCAGTTCAAGCCACGGCTGTCTGTGCACAAGATCTGCCATTATAAAGCCTTTAATCAGCTAAATTACCCACGTGTAAAAATTACCTTTGAATCCGCTGCTACCTGGCGCCAAATGTTGCACTGCTTCTACAACAAAATATGCTAAATTATACTGCATATATTGAGAAGCCCTGGACAGTTTATACCGCCTTACGCAAATTAATGGAAATAAAAATGACACAACTGAAATGGTCAATTCTAGAGTTCAGGCACTGGCAAATTTTCAACTAACCATAGGCGTTGAATTTCGCAGTTTGTTTGCTTAAAAGCTATTGAACTTTTCATATTAAAACAGCAGAAAACACTATGAAACTAAACCCATGTTAATATAAGTCATGATTAGATTCATTGTATTAAAAAACACTGCAACTGAATATGCAGATTTAATCCTTTCCGTAAAATCATTGAACTGAGGCATTTCAATAAGCAGTGTGGTCAGCGAGTTGAGTAGATAAGATATAGTAATTTCAAGTTAACAAACTAATTACAAACATAACTAAAAACGGCGAGTTAAATCTCGAAATTCGGGAAAAATGCTGAAATAAGTGGCTAGCTCTCAATGGAAATACGATGGCTGTGGCAAGAGAAACAAGTTAAACTACAAAAAATATTAAACTAAACAAAGTTTGAATCGAAATGCAACAACAGTAAATGGCTAGGCTATCTAAATTAACTTGTAGTAGGGTTGGTTAAAAAATGTCCTATCAAATAACCGCGCAGATTAACAAACGACTACGTCATTCCTCAAAAACATTCACGCATTGTAACGAGTGTCATAAAGCACAAATACAATAAGATCAAAACTTGTAAGCTTTAACTTGCTTAACTTGGATTTCGTGAAAACTACATTTTTAACTTTGATAACCTTAGAATCTTTACAATTTAGCCTATTGAACACTCCGCATTATGCCTTTTTCTCTAGCACGAAGTGAACTGTCGTCCTCAGCACCGGTGTCCCCAGTATCCAGCTATAATTCTCCAACACCTCAAATGGAAAGACCACTTCCGCCACCAGTCACCATCTACAGGTCCACGAGAAGTCAAAATTTGCGAAATAATTCACCCGTCCTTTACAAGTTAGTTAAACAAGAACAATTATTGAAAAAAACCTCTAAGCTAGTAGAGTAATAAATTCAAGTAGCTGGGATAACACTTGACTTATAAAGCTAACTTTCGTGCATTTTATGTGTAGCATTGTGAGCTCAATATCTACCCCTTACGAGGTAGACATCTGCATTATTATTCCGGTAAAGTCACTTAACCTAAGTGAGACTAATAATTAAATATTACCATGAAAATTCTGCCTTTTCCCTCCAAGCACCACTATTGAATGAAAAACGGTTCCGCTACGGACAGCATGTTTATGGGACACGCTAGACATTTTTACAGTCTTAGCAGAAAGAAACAAATGTCTATAATGTGCTTTAGAAGAATGGAGTAATTGACGTCACTAAACTAGTAACTTCTATCCACCCAATCAGCAAATAGCATTAAATATTCAAATTTTACTTTTCCACAAATTACGAATGAAACGATATTTTGTGGTTAATTACAAACTGAACATTCATTAAGTATCACAGGTGTTGAATCAGAAACATCAAATCCACGATTTCATCAACACTTCGGTGTGTCTCCTCTATACGCCTCAACCTTAATTTAAACGTACGAAGTATAAGTGCATTCACTATCAGCCGTTTATTAGGTTTAGACTCGTGGCTATCACTCCCATGTTGTCAAGAGCATGTTGCATAGCTAGAAATTTGAATTAGCTGAAATATGTCGAATCCGTTCGCTGAAACAGAACAAATGAAGTGAGCTTGCTGCCTATTCCAAACTGTTCCATGTCACAAGAAATTAAAGCTGTGAATTTCAGTGATTCTCAATGTAACTGTAGCCAGCTGACAGTCGCCATCAAACATTGCCTTAGTAGTAATTATATTCTATTTCATGGTGCTTGCAAAACAATACATTCTGCCTATTTCCTTGATAACAAACCTTTTGTGCATGACGATTGTGAGAGTGTTCTGCACTTTTTGACGAGGTTAAGTAGATTATCAATAACTGAATTTCTAGTCGATACCACTCAACGCAAATTCAGGGTTTCTGTAACCGAATAGAACTTTGGCTACATGGGAATCAGTGGTTAAACCAATAACGAATTTTAATTTTAAACAAACGAGAAAGCCATACTGTCAGAGTTACGTGCTGGAAACTGATTTACATGGCTAATTCGTGTTGCGGCCAAAATTCCGTTACACCACAGTGGGGTAACAGCCACCTTTAGGTACTTAGTGATCTGACCTTGTACACAACTCAAGTGTACATGAGAAGAAAGATTTGTTAAGAACAACTTATGTCGCTGTTAGGTGATGCTAAAGCTGTTACCCACTGATATCTCTCCTTACGTGCTATTTCTTTTGCATCTGCTTATAGCAGAGTCCCTTCCCCTTTCCAGTCCGACGTCAGCTATTCAGCTCCAAGCAGTCCTAGAGGAAGGGCAATTCACCTTGGGAAGCTTTCTTTGCTCAAACCTGCTTCGAAGGTGCTGAAGAAAGAGCGTGATATGGCAGTGGATGACTACGCAAAACAACGTGACGAGTCTCACAGCCGCCAGCCTTGGGCAAGCAATTTTAGCAGCAGCTGTGGCTTGCAAGGACACAGACGTCTGCCCCGTCGGGTTCCACCATCGCCGCTCCATCAGAAGCGAAGATTGAAGCACTGCAATGCCAATCGATTCAATCAAATTCACGAAAGTCCGATGCATCACAGGATGATTGGTAGAAAACAGGATTTGCTCAGGCTGCTTGAAAAACTGGGACTAGAGGTTAGAGGGATCCCCTGTTAAATGTTAAGTCAAACAATTTAAAATATAGAATTGCCTTTTTTTATAAATTACGCAATATTGCAATATATTTTAAGCATTTTGGTACTTATTTTTCAAAACTAGGACGCATAATCAGGATAATCGTGTTTTTCTAATTTTTGTCATAATTTAAAATCAGTGCAATGCATTAAAACAAGGCATGTGAATTGCATGTTTGTGAATTGTTACATTTAGAATGTCAACAGTCCAGATGCAAATGTTAAAAATCTGTAGAAATAATCATGTCATTATAAAATGGCTTGATTTTTACGTCCTTAAAACCATATTAAATTATTCGTCAAACATGTGGATAGATTTTGGGGAGACTAACATTGTCGAGAAGTGAAAAAAAAGGTTTTTTTTTAAAATTAACTTGTCGCAATCTGCAGTATAAATAGTTTATTTAAAAATTACAAAATAAGCTGTAGGTTTCTTGGTGAAAAGTTCATTCCCAACTTTTGTCGTTTTACTGCGTTGGTTTCACACACGTTGTCTGAACTCTGCTACCGTAAATTGATAATTACAGCAGTGTTAGTTAACAACAAACGTCAGCGCTATACGTTCATTCATTTAATGTTCACAATGGAGGCCTTCCAAATTTATTGGGAAATATTATTGGCTTATATGACTTGCTACACTTGCATTTCATCAGTATTACATGTGTTTAATTCAAGTCTGCAATTAACGTGGGGTTTTATCTTTACCCTTAGTGTCTTATCTTTCAAATATCTACCTCTCAAATGTAGAGATCATTCTGACATAATTTGCTTCTGGTGAACAAGGCAGCAGTCAACAACTAAATATTTAATGCAGATTAGTCAGGCGACAGCTTGTACTGCTAATGTAGGTGTCATCTAAAATGCTAGAGAATTTATCTAAACAAGTGGTTTCAATTTAATTTGTAGAATGTTGTAGCTAAAGGTCTGTCTAATGCAAATCCTTAGGACACCTAAGATACTAGATGCATTCTAGACAGCCTGGTTTGGTATTCTAACGTTAACTGTTTAAAAATAGATGTTGTTTGTAGAGTCTACACAAGTGTCTTGTTAAAAATGGATATTCACGTGTGGACCAACTTGGTGGGATAACGCGTCAGCGGCTTCTTGATATTGGAGTGTCAAACGCTGAAGTGATTGCTAGCCTGCTCACGGCTGCACAACTGCTCACGGATTCAACAACAGGTTTGCTTAGTTCAAAAGCATTTTCATACCTGTGATTCGTTCTCTCACCATTATCTCAAACCTTACAAAGTTATTGCTAGGTTCAGTTGGATGTGCATTCCACATGCGTATAGAGCATTTGCTTACTTCGTCTATGTTCACGCCGTTTGATGATTTTCACATTTCTACACGCTCTTTCAGAATTCGAACACTCAAATCGCATAAAGTTCTTGCAGTCTGAGAGTGTGCAGGTTAAAAAGGCAATTACTGGGCATGAGTACCACAGAAGGGCATTTTCACGTTGCACAAATGAGTTTTGTAATAAAATGTGAACGTGCTTGAATGCAGCAGCTACTGCCGCTCAGACGAATTACTAACAATCTTCATGCACATTAAAATGTCAAAAATGGTTTCGCTAAATCATAATTACAAACCAGACGCCAAAAACACCTTGTTGTTCCCAAGTAATTTCTCCTAAGATTTTGTTTACATTGTAGTTTAGGTAGTACAGAGACGTGCGTAGATGCAAGTGGGTAGATTTAGATGTTCTAAGAATCCTTTGCTAAAACACGCCAAGTAGATCCACAAAGGATAAAAACAATTGCTAAAAACCATTATTAGGGTACACAAATCGTGACATTAGTACTGCTTCAACCAAAGCTCTTTTGCAGATTAGTCAACAAATATTGCTTGAAATCGCATTTTCCGTTGTAGAAACACCAGTTTGTTATAATAACGAAGAAAGGCGAGTCTTGGGAATCCAGCACCTATCAGGACCCTTAAAAATTGACCATGTATCCTTTGGTTCCAAAGCCTTCTACGCCAATGAAGATGCCAGGTTTGCGAAGTCCGCTGAGCATTGTGATCGTCGAAAGCTGTTTGAGACACCAAGGTCTAAGATGAGGTCACTTGAATCGTAAATACACAAATATTTTTACGGTTAAGGCCATATATGCACAAACTTACAAATTGCACATTGAGGCTTCTTTTCTAAACTGTACTCAAACGTTTCTTTACTCCTGTGTCATTCTTTCATTTGGCAGTTTATTTGCACATTGACACAACACGACTGTGACCGAGGAGCAATTAAATTCAACACCCACGACAGCTGTTTTGCTGCAAGCCATTTGAATTAGCAATAAGCGAAAAAGGGAGGTTTGATTTTGAGGAGAGGTGACCAAACCAAAGCAGTTGGAAGGTAATGAGCATTGCATACATTTCATTCTCAAACAACTACGCGAACCTAATTCTAACTCTGGGAACCATTCTGACATACTTCTCTATCACCGCAAACATAACGCTTTCACCCACCTAAAAAGGCGTATAATAAAATAAGAGTGTATTTCCATGCAACAAGTAATTTAGTACGCAGGCCATAATGACCACAGAAGTTGGCGACCACATTTTTGAAGTCTTAAGCTTTACGTGTTTGCAAAATGCATTTCAGACAAGAAATAGACTACGGAGCTTCAACGGCATCCGGTGAATCAAGAAGCATCTTTATATCTCGAGGGAAATCTCATGCAAACACCGGTCTAAAGAGTATGCTAATATCCCTTTATGTGTGTTTTATTTGTTAATTCTCTTCATTGTAGCTACCATTCGAAGTAAATGCTATTAGAATAATGTTAATGCCTTCACAAAAACATCAAGTTGGGAATAATGGCCATACGACCTAGATTGTCTTCCCTTTCCATGCTTAAAATTTTTATTCTCGCATTTAAGACAAATTGTTTCTATAAAGCAACACAGAGGCTTTAGGTCATAATTGCATGCTGAAGGTGCAATATTGTAAATATTATACTCTTGTTACGCACATTTAATATTCTGCGTAACAATTTATTGGAATTTCTGTTTTCGCAGGCCTATTTCCCAAAAAATTGTATTTTATCGGTCTTTACAACAGCTGCAAATAAACTAGAGGCATTTGTCTTCTTTGTTTAAGCTATTTGATTCCATGAAATGCTAGTTATCGGGTGTTTTTTACCGACCCCGTCCACCTCTGCAGCACCACACAGGCCTAAGCAGGATATTGATGATACTTATATTTTGAACAAAAAATGTTTCACTTTGCAAATATTCCAAAAGCATTTACAAATAACATTCGTGGCATTGTAGTGTATATTCCGCAGTTCACATTAGCAACTTAGTTATTTTTTGTAAGAATGAAGAATATTACCCGTTGCGTTTATTCAGCCTAGAGATTATCTGGCATTTTGAGTTGTACAGACAATTAACGGACGACTGCAATTTACCTGTTTTAGAGCCTCTTGTTGGAGTTCACAAGATTAAAGATTTTGCCCCAACCCGTTCAAAGAGTGCTGGTCCAAATCAGCCCAGTAAAAGAGAGGACAACAGGCAAGAATATCACTCCACTGTTTTTGACACATCTAGTAAGGTGCAATTGGTTGTCTAATTTGTTGCCTGCATGCTCGTTTCCATGGGTAGCGTTCGTTGTTTAGATATTTAATGTACAAATATAAAGCACATTGATCAGTATCATGCAGAAATCCAAAGCTAATGTACAACTTAGGGTTCTAAATCCAATCTTTTCGACAATCTATTCAATTGATTAAACCGGGTTGTTCGCATTTACACCAAACATTGGTTTTTCCTGTAATTCGAGCGTTGTGTGAATACCAGCACAAACTTTTTAGACCATCAACCACACCCGACTGCACCTGTTCAATAATAAATGCAATCCACAGACGGTGTTTGCTGGTGGCTAGTGATGCTTGGGGAACTTTTGTTCATTTATTTCCTAGTAGTAGTTGTGAATGCAAAGGTTCACATAAAAGGTAAGTTGAGTTCAGTGGTGGGAATGTGTTAGTGATTTAAAATAAATTTAGTTATTGAGCTAATTTTTGTAAAAGTTAACCTCAGCGCAAACGTATAACAGAACAGTTGTGAAAATCTGATTCACGTGTTTTCGAGATTCCTCACTTCAATCGGTACTAAACTTGAAAACAAGACACCCACCACATTCAATAAGCTAGGTGTGATAAGGGATTGTTCTAACAGGCTAAATCAATCTCCTACATTTTGAGCTACAAACACTGGCGATATCAATGTGATCACCTGCCTCACCTCAACATTTGATGGCGGTACACCTTTGCCCCACATTGTTGACAGCTTTACCCTATTGAGGGTCCCGGCATGTTGTCTTGAACCACGCCGGGGCCACCGCGACAATCTACGCCGAATACGTTAACCTGTGTTCCCGCGAAAATGAGGAAGACCGGAGTGGAGAAGGCACAATCGTCTGCTAGACCGCTCAACCAAGTTGTGTCGTGTACAATTACGGTTCAGTGGACATGTACAAAAATAAACAGGTATCTGTGAGGTCACATGACTAAAATGGGTGGTGGTTGGACATGCAGAGTGGTTAATGAACCAGCGGCCTCACGTGACTGACGGGCAGGTCGTGAAAAGGGGGGACGTGTGCTGGAAGCTGCGATGACTGGGTTATTGGACATGAATCGACACGAATCCCTACAACCCCATCTACGGACCTTCCTGTCGGCGTTGCCCATTTCAATTCAATTTAAGGTTAATTGAGGTGATTGATGTTTTGCATCAGGGATATTAAACACTTGCATGGAAAGGTGCAATGTCGATTACATGCTCAGGATCACGTAAGTAAGGGATTGCAAAGAGAAGGCACAAGTATGTCTGTCAGTTAGCGTAAGCAATCGACGCGGATACATGGGTCTGACCACGGAGTTTGAGATACGGTGTTAGGGACACATGGAGAGCGCTGTTCCGAAAACATTTATGTCATGGAACATCCGAGGTGTGTCTTAGCTGCATCCTGATTTCCAAGAACAACAGGAAAGGCTAATCTCGAGGGTGCTGAACTAGCCTGAGCTGTTCACTTAGCATTACGTAGTTTCAAATGGCTCGTTTTTGTTCCCAAAGTGGGTCATTCTCTAGATCCAGGAAAGATTGAAGTGCAGATGTGACGTGTATACCAATCCGCCAGTTAACGAATTTTGTGACTACGGTATTTACAAAAATCTCATGCATGGACATTCGTGCCATTGGACGATTCAGTTAACACTAATCAGCAGATGAAGAACACCGTTTAAATTTTGCAGGCATGTAATGATGCTGATAATAATATCGGTAATATCACGCTATTTCATCTAAACCTTTCCATGACCATTGACTAGTACAATCTAGTCATCATGCAACTTTGAATCGAGTTTTCAGCTGTGGCATTTGAACAGAAACTCACCTCATTTTGACGCTTGCTGTTTTGTGTAGAAATGTTTCAGAATTACTTCTTACCAAAGCTGGAGAAAATAAAAGACTACATAGATATTCCTTTCTAGTCACTGAATAAATGTTGTTGTGCCGTTTCTGTCCCTCGCCATAAATGTTTCTCGTTATAACCATACCAAAGCCTTTTTGATAAATCTCGTCATGATCATTTGCTGTGATTGGTTGGTAGCAGGAGGTGTTTTTTTCCTCTTGCCCAAAACGCGTCTTTAATTTAACGCGATAAGAATCATTGATAGAAATGGAGATTCGTTCTCGGGCATTCCTGATTAACCTCTGCTATGTGGTCTAGGAAGCCGCTAAACTCCCTTATCACAAGTTTGCGGCATCAGTGCCTAATGGCTAACAGAGAGGAGAGCTTCCCGAATATAAGTTAAAGGGTTTAAACGAACTTCTCAAAAAAGTGGTCCCCTGGGATTGTGGGGTACATGGTGCTGTGGTACCTCTGCAGCTCCACCAGACAGAGTTCACGCATCCGCGTTCTGACCTTCCGGTCGTCATCCTGTGACGCCAGGTCGATTCCTATCAAGTCTTCGCAACGCCGACACAATGAGTCAAACATTACCCCGTTTTCCGGAAGATTGATGAACTCCGTGATGCTGTTGATTAAGTCGTCAATTAAAGGCTTAATGACGAGAAGGGTCCATGTAGGATGAGAAATCTGGCAATCTGGAAGCATCGAAACCAGCCACTTGAGAAATTGTTGTATTCATTTGCCATCCATCTCACCTGTGTCGCCAACTTGTTACGGTTAACTGGAACACAGGTGTGAAGTGCTGAGCTCAAAAGCAGAAACCTTTGTCTGGCGCGTCAACAGCCTCACGCACACTAGTGCACGCCACAATTGGAATGAGTCAACACCTCCCCAAACACGGACAAGACAGGATCTTACCATTTGTTTATTGCAGCAGATAAAATCGTGTGAGTAACACACGTTGTCATTGGATGTATCCATATCTGAGCTTTTTGTTTAAGACGCACTAAATATTCACCTTACACACGAAGTTGAAATTGTTATCTTTCCTATTCCAACAAGAGAATGTCAAGTTGCTTAGGCAATTATGAAACCAGTCAAAATTCCAACGATGTTTGTTTGAAGTGGCCGTGAAGTTGTGTTGAATTACGTCGATTAACTCGGTCGTCGCATGGTCTAAGCGTTCTTACCCTCACGCGGACCCGTCTGTTCATAACACACTTGCGCACGAACCTCCCTTTGCTACGCGTTCCACTCCCCTGCTCACTCTTTCACCTGTACCTTTGCCAGTTCACCTAGTCTGTGTTATTCAACGATCTCCATTATTTAACCACTACATTTTACGCATAGAGGAGCGACGCACGGATAGGTGGTTCTTCCACCATCTCCGGTCGTCTTTGTCTTCTCGGGTATCCGTTAGGTACAACTCAGCCGCTATACGTGACCGAAATTGTTCTGCGAATATGTGGTCGATAATGTTAGGCCATAGGATGTATGAATTAATTTGGCCAAGAAAAGTTGCACAATTTTCAAGTTTGCGATATTCTTAAGGAGCTCCAAACATTTTGGTAAATAGTTCGTCAGGTTTTGTCGGTGATGCAGAATATTTACCACCTCGAACATCCATTGTAGATTCATATTGATCAAAATAATCTGTATTGATTTAAATTATGAATGCGAGGTCAAATTTACCACTGGGTAATGTCCACATAAAAAGCTGACTGCGCCTGATTTTCAGTGCACTCGCATCAAGTTGAACTCATTCGACCTGCCACATTTCAATCTTAAGGTGCACTGATTAGAATGGACATTACAACGTTGGTCCAGTCGATCTGACGTTAAAGTTGGCAATGTAATACGCGCACATTTTCTACATGTGATTGTTGGCGCAAAATACTACTACTGGAATTCTGAATGGTACGCATTTATGCTAAGAGCACCAGCCCAAAAACGCAAAAAAAGTTTTTGTGACCTTTAAGGCAATGACTCGTGGACCTTGGCAAAGAGTTATGCTCGTGGACAGTTTCCAGTCCAAGAACCGATGTCATTTACTGTAGGTTTTGTTTGACTTACTCTTTGTGCAAAATGCTTCAATTCTTTAAACTGAAAGAATAATATTCTGTTTTGAAAAAAATAGAAATAAGTCTTATAGGGCTTCATTAAGAATTGGTTCTGATGTGACAATTTAAAAATAGATTAAAAATGGAACAATACAAGGCAATGAATATTACTAGAGACTTGTAAACTATTGCTCCAATTCCTCTTCTTTGCAGAGAGAACTATCTGAACTAATTAGTATGCTTTCTAACCGTTAAACTCAAATCATCCTAATCCTAATGCTAATGCTCTTTTGTCTTGTTAAAGCGATTGAAAAGGCCTGTCGGAATTCTTCGAAATGCCTCCATACGAACTCAAATGACAGAAGAGACTGCGGATAAAATCCTCAGTAATTCCATGGCTAAACGACTTGGAACCACACAAAAGTCAGTAAAAATAGACGAATCCTCTTTGCAACAACAAGCGGCCTCATGCTGCGCCTCCATTACTGATCTCGAGGCACAGATTGTTAAGTGGCTTCGGTTGGAGAGAATAGATTTGTCAGAGCCTCCTTACACCAACGACGTAAGTTAGGATGTTAATATTGGTCCAAACCGACTTATGCAATGGCGTATTATCTCCTTTTATGGACTTGAACTTTGAAAGTGCAGTTGCGACCAGTCTGTTCCCACATTCTTCAACACGCACAACATGGATTTAAATTCTTTTACTTCATACTAAAACAACGGTTGAAGATGTATGTCACCAACATCACGCAATATTGAAAGAACCATGGAAACCATATTGTTATTTAAAATTTTAGCTTTGAAGTCGGAGACCTGTAGGATGTTTCTTTTCCAAAATTGACTGATGTTCTGGGGGCACACCCCAGCTGTCTATTTTGAAATATATGATATGTTAGTATTTTGAACGTAGTCCTTTGTTTTCCGACTGTTCAGGTTAACGATAACAGTTGCTACCGCAGTCTCATCTGTCGAGTTTGCTTTGTTTGTGATAATTTGTATTTTTCTAAGCGGTACTTTACGTTTTAAATCTAAGGGTCCAAAGCGTTACTTTGGTTGTAACTGATGTGTGGATTTACTTGTTGTAGGCTGGAGGATCCGGTATTCCTCTTCGTTTGATTGAACGCTATGCCTGCGAAGCGGAAAAGGACTGTACTACAATCGCTCTCACTCTCGAACGCATTAGGGAACAGATATTAAGGAAGGCGCAGCTCCCTTTTGTAAATTTGACTCACTTAGCCTTATTCATAAGCTTAAATACCTACCTAAGCGCATTTATGAGGGCCTTTGCCTTATTGTGCTGAAGTCCATTGCTGTCATTCTGCAGTACAGTTGCCATTCCGTCCTGTCTGAGACTTCTTTTGACTGTGATTTGGATGTTTCATCTTCCGGCCATTACCGTGTGGTAGATGGCTCCCAACACAACTCCAAAAGTGTGTTCTTGAAGCCACAACGCCTATCCACATTATACTACTGAACATTGCTATTAATAAGGGTGTTGTGAATTACCAGCACCCTGAGCGTGGGTTTTTCGGGAAATGAATTATTTCCCTCTTCAACCAGCTGTCCAACACTACCAAACTTAATTATTTTTAAATTCTTACTTCTGTCTACCCTAGCTCTGCTGTAGATTATGTTGGACATTAAAACACAGCAAAAAAGTACATTGACTTTTCCTAAATTAAAACATCGACAGCTACAATGCGCCAAATTAAATAGTTTATTTGTTGCTATCTAAACGAAATTTAAACTAAATCAATTTTTTTTCTATACATTGAAATTTTAGGCGCACACTCATTACTATCATTATTCCAGGGTCTACCGTGTTATGACTTTGAGGTTAAACGTGTTATTGTCTAATGCTTTTGTTCTTGATTTCTACCTCCACTTATATATAAATCTGGAATCAAAATGACTTGATTTGTATAAATGTATCTAGATTGTTTCCAAAGCAAGATTTCTGATTGGTAGCAATTGGCCCTTGTATTTCGCGTTTAAAGCCAAAGTTCTTGTGTGGTCCTTTGGCATTTTTTTATTTTTAAACTACAACGGAATATCCGAAAGACAATAATTTTGAAATGCCATTTTTGCAATTTAAAAGGAAACTTTAATTTTGTCTTTAGATTTGCAAATGTAGAGAAGTGTAGGATCGTATTGGCTTTCGCGTAAGACTAGAGGATTTGCATGACCACACCAACCAACCTCACCCAAGCCTACATTGTAGCCTTATGCACGGATCATTTCTCCTTTCCCACTTTTGAACTCAGTTCATCAGAGCAATAAATACATTAGTGTGAGCTCATTGAAGTCCTAACATAAATTGATTAATTTGCCATGCATTTGCTCATAAGTAGTTTTATAAGCTGTTATTGCGTTGTATTAATCCAACTGAGTTGTGCATTTGGACCATCTGTATTACATTAGGAGACTTAATTTCATCAAGCTGGATACCTGCAGTTGCTATTATTGTACTGCAATGGCTGCTCACATATTCTCATGCCTAGTTTTGTGTGATTTAATTAATTTTCCGTGCTAATATTTCACCCAACTTTGTCGAAGGCATCCAATCTTGAAGAAATCCACTCTCGGCGTTATCTTAACTGCAACGGCATTAAGACTGACAACTTGGGAGATTTCCTAACAACAATTGGTCTGCCAATGTATGCCGAATGTCTGACAACAGCTCTACGTGGAAATAATGCGCCAATTCCTGCGAACCTCAGCACTCTGACTGATGCTGAAATGATATTCTCGTTGGGCATTCCGGTGGAACACGTCCGAAGAATACGCGCTGAGGCCGCCCTTATTCCAAGAAATCATTTGTCCTGCGGCAGCAGTGGTAGGCGAAGGGAAGCCTTTTTGCAAAAACGGACCGTGTACCACAAGTGGCATCAACAAACAGTTTCATGGAAATTAACAAAAAAGGTGCTTGAAGTAACACCGTGCTTTGATTCCACCGAGGTGTTTGACAAAGTCTGACGTTTCTTTTTTAACTTGGATAATTCGATTAAAAAGTACTTGCAACTGAAGCTTAATATGATTCATGGGCGCAAATATTAATGGTAATAATTTTAAGCTGTTGCTGCGTATTATTCCTCACTGGAGCCATTGTAGGTCATAACAGTTAGTTGGTGAAAAGGGTTAGGAAATGTGCGACGAGGATGAGGCATAGATGTCGAGGTGGGTTTAATGTGAACTCACGGTCTTCATTACAGCTGACGCCTTCTATGAAAAACTTGAATGCCTTGCGATTTTGTGATACTAGTTAAAAACAGCGGTCCATTATCAGTTGGGAAGTTGTGTTGAGACTCGAACCAACTGTTAAAACTTTTTACATTTGACTGCTGCAGAACTAGGCAGAGTGTGATGCAGCCGGCTCCTTGTCTCCTGTAACTCATAAGATATTTTGAGTTTCGGTCAAACGCTAGGTTTGCCAAAGAATCCCAGAGTATTCCTTTAAGACTGATTAGTTTCCGTGTATGATGAGGGAAAATGTTTCTGTTAAACGAGCTGAATAAGACTGATTAGTTTCCGTGTATGATGAGGGAAAATGTTTCTGTTAAACGTGCTGAATAAACTTACGTATTTGCAGCGGCTTTCAGTTCATACATGCCATTTGACAGAGGATTGCAAAGTTTCAATGCAATTCTTTAAGTTAGACTTTTGAACGGATGTGAAGCAAATTGTGTTCCTCTGTCCGTTGTGACAACGAGGCGACACTCCAACAAAGCATATCACCTTTCGTCGAGTAATTTAATTTCTTTCGATGGAGATGTTTTGCTTTCGATAAGTGCCCTGAAATCATGCTAAACGTTAGCCTATTTCTAAAAAGACATTTGTGGTTGCCGTGCTTCCCAGAATAAGGAAAGAGTGAAGTCAATCTATCAGCACAGGTAATCCACGGATCAGTGTCATTGATTAGGTCCAGTCTGATGTTGAGGTTGGCTCGTTTGAGGCGGTTGAATTTCATTAAATGGTGTATGTTGGCGTTGTTCAATCAAAGATATTATTCTCTAAGCACAAGGCTGTTTTTTAAAGATACGTTAGTTTTGAGTTGCATAAATTTTGTTTGGCCACAACCAATTAAATTTGTGAATTTCGCTCATCAAGGAAACAGGATGGCAGAAAGACATCTGACACTCCTTACTCAGGTTTCTTTCTACTTTAAAAAGTGCAAAGACAATGTCAACTTAGTCATTTAATCAATCTTCTCCTTGCAATGAAATCCTACGACATTAATTGTCGTAGTGTTTACTAATTTGATCGGGCAAGGTGGCCACACCCGACGAGCCCATTCTCATTTTTTTGATTGTACCACTCACTAGATTACAAGATCTGCACAGATTCTGATTTAACCGTAATCAAGTAAACTCTAATATTATATTTCTCTATTTAAAAATGTTATTTCAGATTGCTTTTGTATTTTACTCAATTCCATCGTAGCGCTTAGAAATAAGTGTATCCTATTGACGCTACCTTGTTAGATGCACGGATTTTCGAAACTCAAATCAGGTGCCTTTCAAGCTCTTAATATCAGTTGGTCAAGAATTTAGGTATATATTAATATTTTTACATAAATTGACTCAATATGTGACTGATGCAGATACACAGAAACAGGTGTTTGGGTAAAAGTGCCTCATTAAATAGTGTTAGCTAGAAGAGTCAAAATGTGTGCCGTTGTAGGCTGCCTTGAAACTTGATTGGGAAGAAGCGCTTTTCGAGTTGAAATAATAAGTGCACTGGCGTTTTCCGCAAATTCCTATCAACACAAAATAATGCACTTGACGAGCTAATCCTTTTTAAAATTACGGTACATCTGTCAAAATCTTAAATGTGATAAGATGCTGAGGGCGTGACTAGATCAACTTGAGGTAAGGCTATCATTCAATATCTTTTAAATTTAGTTGATATGGTGCTTGAAGCATAAAACCCTTATTTTCACGTAAATATTATTGAAAGTTGCATAGGTCATTTCGTAATCCTAGATTGTTTGTGCGACATTTGGAATTATAAGCAAAATAATAAATGTTGCAATGTCCAATTAATAAGTAGTCGCAGGCGAAGTAGCTAAATTCAATGTGGGTAGTTCAATTCAGGAAAGGACATGGAATCTTAAGGGCAGTTTTCTTTTGGAACATCATAGACTTCCATTTTTATCTGTCAAATCTGCTGTGGCAATGCACGACATTTATGAACGTCATAATTAACCTCTATTTAATGATAATTATTTTTTAAGCAAAAAGATAAAGCCAATTTGCCTACGTAGAGTCTAAACCTAGAATACCGACTTAAATGTTCAATTTTACTGTGAGCTACTGTTGTGTTATATTTTGTGGTATATAATTTGACAGCGCTGCAGATTGTTTAACAATAAGCCTAACTGTGCACATGAATATTGCCGGAACTTCTTTTACTTAAAATGCATGTTCCAGGATGATTCCCCTTGAAACTACACAATGATCCAGTAAAGCCGCTAGGGCTTCGAAAAGGAGCGATTTTGTACCCTAAGACATTGTAACAATGACTTGATCTCATTTCCACCTCAATTATTTCAAGCGTACAAAGCAGTCAGTTTGCAGTGCATTTTGAAAAAAAGATAAGAATATTGCCTCAAATGTGCCTTAGCTAACGTTTTACTTGGCACCTGAGAAATTTCTTTAATTTACTCAAAATCAGCATTATCAGATTTATTCTTCCACATGGAATGCGGTTGTTTGGTATTCAATTTACAGCAGTTTAAACAATGGGTGTAGAATGACTTAGGCTGCACATTGTGTCAAAGCTAAAGATGTTTTTTTTTTACTTGGCATGCGAAATCTAGCAAAACATGGGCGTGTTTCGATTTTAGCCAACCCGACAGTCCTATATAAGCAGGTTTTAACAAAGTATGCCAAGATTTACCACCTATTAATCCCTTTTATGTTTTGTTTTCTAAATGCTAGGCATCTAGTAACATGAGTATGAATTAATTTAAAAAACAAATACAGACCCTTATATAAGCCGACAAATTGTAGCCAGGAATTACTTCTTCCTGCGCATTTCTGCTAACATACTATCTTGGTTAAATGACCTGTTAAGAAATGTGAAACAAACTCTTACTTGTACAATTTCAAGATTTTCGCGATTCACGACGAAGAGGCACCAATTCCCGTACTTCGAAGAACATAAATTGTATTTCCTGAGTTGGTTTAACCGCCCCATTTTTCTCGCATTTAGAACGAGAAGAGGGCCACTTTTGCCAGTTGAATGGTCCTAGTGTAAATTTGCAACCGATAAATTATAACCTTTCTATGAAACAAATTCACCATTCGATGCGTTCAATTTATTTTGGAAAACCTGTACAAGTAATAATACAGTGGCCTCTCGTTCTAGTCAGTTGACTAAAACCTAACCGGTTTTAAAATTACTAACTGACGTCATCGAGATCGACCCGTAGCATAATTTTGCATACTCGATTTTCGATGTTGCAAGGACGTCATGTTTAAATTAACAACACTTTCTAAAACTATACCGGCACAGCTAGAAGCATGCGCTTACTCTGCAGGAACAAACTCTTTTAGAAGAGGTTGCACAAACAAGGAACTGTATGAAGGTATGTAGCAGTTCCCTTTTTTTTCTCAAGACTTAAATACGTTAATTATGAACCCCATAATTAGATGTCAGTCACCGTTACTCCACCTGCAGTCTCCTCTGTACCACTGATCTTGTGTTTTGGCTACTAGTTGTTTACGTAATCGGTTCCAATACATTGTGGAAAGACAACCATGCATTTGTTTGTCTGACATCCATTTGCATCTACTCTAATTTCCGCCAGTTGCGTCACTTACCACATGACTTTGGCATTTGTTACCTGGCAATTGTGACAATGGCATTCAGGCAGGTACTGCTTACCAACTGAAGAACTTCGAAGATCTCGCCTAGATCGGCATCATCACCAATGGGAATTAGCACACGGTTTGTAATGGAATAGGCCACCGCGGTATTATGCAACACAGACTCTGTTTGCATCGTCTGCAAATCAAAATTACCACAGAATATCCTTAAAGTTGCATTAAAGAATCAAATCAGTGTGCACACATGCTTGGCGGAAGCGTCATTCCAAATGTCTAAATTACACGTTTTTTTTGACTTTGAGCTTCATATTGTTTAGTTCTTCTGTGATGATGAATAAAAGAGCCTGCACTTCGTTTCTATTGTCGTCATTATGCCAAATCTTGAGCTAATTTTAAGACCTGTTAAAATTAAAGTAAGTCTACATGTTTCGCAGTTATCAACACCTACTACTTCGTTTACGATTTTGACATAACTAAAAAAGGGAAATACCTGCACTTACTTGATTTTGTAAGACAAAGTGGTAGCGTATATTTTGTCTAGATAGAATGCTGGATTTCTTGTGTGCCTCGATGAATCTAAATGCCTCAGCTGTTGTTGCCTCCAGAGCAACGCTAATGCGCCCTTCCCACTGCACAATTGCCTGTTCAAGTGTATCCAGTCTTTAAATAAAGTAACTCGAGTAAACGGATTCGTTACAACCATTTTGAGACATCAAAGTACTTGTGTTTTCAACTGACCTTTGTATTTCGGTGTTAGAGGTTTATTGCATATACACTCGACTATGGTGAAATCGTATGTGATTGAATTAAGGTAAACTCTGAATGATAGCGTATAGTGACACAGGGCCGGTAGGAGTAGTAAAACTCATCTTCATCTTGTCCTCGAGAATGTCTTGTTTTAAGTTAGTTTATTTTGATCACAAATCCATGGCAATCAAACGAGACGCATTAGGAGTGAAGCCCTGAACGCACCAGAACCTAAATCACTTTTAAATTGTTTTAAGTCAACTGATATTATGATTGCTATAAACCGAATGAAATTTACGTATCAAACTTCATCGACGAATAACTATGGCCCAAATGGAACGGTAAAGGATATAAAATTCAGAGGAACTTGATTGTTCGTATAATGATGGTGCCTTTTAAATGATGCCACACCAAACGTAGGGACCACAAATTGTTATAACCTACCCTGTAAGACTTACTGGGTGATTTCCAGCCCCATTACCAACGTGATTCCATCTGTGTGAAAACTCATTCGTTCAAAGTCGGGACAAATATAGATAGGGTAAATGATACGCTCAGTTGTGTAGGAGAATTCTTCATTCAGTTCGCACAACTTCGTTAACATTCTCCAATTCATCTTGCATAATTCAGAAGCGGTTAAAAACTTGCCCGTTGAGTGCAGTGTGTCTATGATCTGAAAAGGCAATAAATGAAATGTTCGAAATTGGAACACAAGGACAATTGACAGCAGCTTCGATAGCGCAAATTATCCGGAAAATTTTTAGTAGTAGCACTGTCATTACTAAATATTCATTTTCGGAGGTAACCGTGCAGAAATATAAAGATGGTACATGAGAAAAGTCTGCTCAATGGACTTTTGTTCAGATTCAAGTAAGCCGTGATTACGAAATGGCCTTCGTCAAAAATTGGCATGAACTCTAAAACATTAACAAATTATAATTTTTTTTCGTAGATACCATCCAAAAAAAGTAAAATGAAAAGTGGATATTATATTTCAAAGAACCTTTAACATCGCACTGGCTGCGCGTACTTCTACCTACACTTGAGCGCCAGCTGCAGCCACACTTTAAAGTAGCGATTTCTTGAGAAACGACTAGTTCTGAATCGAGAAAATCAAATTTATTGCAAACTATAGCACGCAGGTAGGATGAAGCTCTATTTCCCTGAACCTAAATATTGCTTCTCGAAAACAGATAAAGAATGCGACTATACTACCTTTAATGTGCCAGCGAGATCAAGCAATTGAAACCTAAGCCACCTTTGGAGCAAACGAATTCAATGACCCAAATAAGTTCCAGACCATAGCATTTTGTATTTTCTGGTTGAAATGAGAAAATATCTTATAGCAACTGTGCATGCAACATGTTATTGGTAATTATAACTTGTTTCGATTCATAAATTAGCGGAAAATGAAAATTCTCTCACTACTCAAACGAGTCTAGGAGAATTAGGAGTTTTACTACGTAGGCTTTCATGACACCCATTCAAGAGTTTTGCTGGGATTTGTTAATAATAATAATGTAGGCTTGTGTTTTCAATCCCATCCTAAAAAGCATTTGAACAGTTTACTCTCTCTGTCGTATGTATTTTGGGATGCTGTCGTGGTTACCTTGTCATGTCAACACAAACGGGCTGAGGAGACAAATTTACAAAGTGAAAGCAACCTGATCACTTCTTTCTCTTCACAGATTTCATTCAAACCAAAGTTCAAGTAAACCTCGTGTGACCTGATGCATACATTTACCTAATTCAATGTGTATTGAGGAGGCTTCGTCCGTCTATCAATCTGGTTACGACAAACACGATGCAAAAGAAACCTAAGCTCATTGTTGTAAATGTTTTACTGCTATTAAGAAAAATGTTGGTCAGTATACTTGACGTTTATGTGTAGAAAAAAAGTGGTATTTCGGCCACTTTCATTAGTTCTCAGCTTTGTTATTTTAATAATTCATAGGCTGCACGAAAGGGGTGCCCCACTTAAAAGAAATGCAATGCATGCTAGGCAATTAAGTCTGCCTGGTGTTCGACTGTGAAATACGCATTTAAGCCTCCACAACCCTGTAACAGTGCAACATAATAACAAAGTGGATCATTTAAAATTCTTCAAAATTCAAATCACATAAGGATGTTATAAGTCATCATAAGCGTTGTGCAATTGTGCTATATAATTGGGTAAGAACGTGTCACCTGTAGTTTACAAATTGCCATGCAATTGTGTGCCTTGTCAATCATCCAATAAAACTGATAGCATAAACAAGTTATTTGGAGTACATAATGAATGTGGTTTCGCTCAAAAAAAAAACACAAAAATAGATCCAATTGGTAAGAAGGCAGGATGCACTCAATCAAAAGGGTCTGATTCAAATGAAATCGAGCAATTACGAGGCCTAACAATGAAAAAATAGGGAAGGTAAGCTAAAAATGACGATTATCCAGAGAATCCAGACAGTTTAGTAATTATATTAATATTGTAGGAAATTCTATGATTTGGAGTCACGAATTCAACAATCTTAGTTCTATTCAAAATTAGGGAAGTACATAGCTAAAAATAAACTGATTGGATTATTTTGTTTGCATCACTGTCATTTCAATGAAAGTTAGAACAGTATTATGGTTCATTAGAATTTAAGCATTAAGAGATATTAAAAAGAAGCTATTTTCAACGTAAGATTTGTGAAACGAAGAATTTCATTTAAACACGCCAAAAATAAAATGCATTCAACAGAATCGCCTACTTTGCGGAAGTCAAAAGGTTCATTCCTCTCAATTCTTCGACGGAATGCATAATCATTGTGTAGAAGGAGAAGGCTTCTTTCGTAAACAAACGCTTTCCGGAACTGGTTTACTAGGTAACAATGTTATGACGGTGGTGACAAGTGATTTCTAAACTTCCTCGACCTAAATGTTCCTACTTCACCTATTCTTTAAACTGCCTTAACTTTGATTTATGCCATGAAAAAATGTTTTTAGTGCGTTAGCATCAAGAAGCTTTAAATATTCATCAGACTATTATGAATGCATTTTGGAACAGATGTAAGTCCAAAATATTTGCGCTTCCAACAGTAGAGTATCAAAGCCGAAAGACAATAAATACAACAATACTACTAATATAACAATGCACTAAAGTTGACAAAGATATGACCCGCCCCTCAAACTGTGGATAAAGATTGAGTGCTAATTATCAGAGAAATCTACACATAAGTAAGGTGTTATTAAGCGGTACTAACTAAACATAATTTTATTTTGTGCGTCTGAGGGAAGTTTACTACTTTCGCTTCTAACCACAAAAGGTGCACCGCAATTTCGCAAATGCATGAATGTTAGTGCAAATTTGTTGCTTGCGTGTGGAGTCACTTACGATTTACAAGAGGATGCTTCGGTTTCTCAAGAGCGAATTTTCCAAACTGCTTCCCCGCTCCACTGCCATGCATAACTTTAGGCTTTGGTGCATTCGGGTCAGAGCTGGTCCATTTTGACAAGCAGTTGTAAGGTTTGCAATCAAAACTGAGCTGCAGGTTCCACGTGCAATCCAGAGCATAAAATATCTCCGGGTTCAAGATCGCAGTAAGAGTCATGACGGTCTTAAAGCCAAGAAATAGGCTAATTTATTTAGTATCGAAGCGGACTATCTTCTAATCTCATTTGAATGTAGTAATCCCTTTAACTGCGTTGACGATAAAGGTTGACCCACAGCTACCTTGAAATGTGACGTAAATATGTCACATTCTAATGACAAAGTAAGCGATAAAGCAAAAGCACCAAAACCCTTCATATTTGAAACCTTAAGTAACGCGTCTTTAGGTTAACTTGTCTGCTCGTAGCACAAAAAAGTTAAACATGACGTAGGCTGAGCATATATGATGAGACTTCCCATTAAAAATCCAGTTCAAATATGGTATCTTCAGCTATCCCAGTTTCCACATACCTGTTCTGCAGCGGGAAGAAATATCTTCGGTTTGTCGAAATTTGCAAAAACTGGCTTCCAGATTGCATCCCACTTTTCCTGTGGAGCGCGACTTGCGTACCAAAGAACAAGTCCACCGTTGTAACCCTCGGTCTACAAAGACAATTTGTATAATCCTAGTAAAATGATGGTTTCCTGTAATGGAAAATTCAATTTCAGTTCTGCAAGTTGTATCCTTAGTGCCACGACAACCATGCAAATACGCATTGATTTTTTAAGTGTTTGTTCGTGCTTGTTGGTTATTTTTCGGATGCGTTTGTAATTTTTCTTCTATGATTGTTAAAGTAAACAATTCAACTTTTCTCAAACCACGGCTTCAATAAAAAAACTAGCACTGGGGTATTTCCGATTTTGTAACACTGCCGCCCATCGACTCTAGATGCCGGGGACATTAAGTAGTCCAATTACATTTTTTTTTAATTTCTAACTTTAATTCTTTTTACTCTTTCATTCGTTCAATTTTCGTTGCCATCTATACGCACACAATACAGTAATACACACAAAAAATATAATACCACGACATACGAATCTCCAACCATAAACCTTTGGAAAATTGTACCGCGTTGGAGCTTGATCTGCAGCCATAGCGTAGAACTAAAAAATGGCATAACTCCATTACCTAAGGCACTTAAAATTCCGGTGATACGGCGGCTAATCTGTGTAAAAGAATAACACTTTTTTTCAGTTACAACTGGGTTTCTCTAATGGCCTACACACAGCTGACTCAAAAAAGCAATTTATGCCTCTGACCATTCATTCAAATTCAGTTGAAACTTAAATGCCTTACCTCATCGTTAAAAAAAAAACATAATAAATTACATAACATTTGATACCTGTAAGAAATATTGCTTTTAACATAACTAACACGTAACAAGAATCCACATTATTGCCTATGTGATTTGTCACCGCATTCTTAAAATAGTCACTTTAATTCATTTTGGCCCCAATCTGTAACTTTAACTGTGATCCTGGCTTTGGAGAAATAGCGCTTAAAATATTTCTTTTTCAAGCAAAAAATAAATTTGGGTGGTGTCTATGTTTCCTAAAATACGAGGTAGATGATGTCGGCAACAAATTCCAAGAAACATAACTCAAAACAGAGGGTGACATCACCAAAGCGTCAGATTTACGTCAGCTTTCTAAGTGTTCTACCGTCTTAAAAATCACTTTCGGCATTTAACTCCAGCCGACTGCAATCAAAAACACCATATTTTATGTGAAAACTATCATTTAAAACCTCCCTGCACAATCTTGTGTTCAAAAAAAGATCTTATGTCAAGAGTCTGAAACTTCGAACCTATTAGAAAACCTGTAGCTGAGACTGAATCATGCCGAAATTCGTCTGGATATACGATTTTTTAGTAGAATAACAGCTGCTGATAAGGAATACTAATTATTGACGCTTTGTCAGCCGTAAAACCTATCACTTATCCTATACTCTATAATTATAAAACATAAATAAGTAAATTCGAAAGACGACCAAGTACAGAGCGTGGTAATATGACCGAGGCAAACTTCATCGCAAAACATTTATATTATCATTTTTGAGGTTTAAATGATTACAATGGGCATTCATAACGAAGTTAGTAAATAGCCCTAAAATGCAGGCTATGCTAAACATTCTCTGCTATTAACATATTTCCTTGCCTTTAATGTAATTATTTTGGGCTAATTTTTTTTCCAATCTCAATAATCGATGTTATTTAAAGAGCAAAGTTTGACTTGACTGGGCCCAGACACAAAAATCTACTGGCATTCAATTTTAGCTTCGGCATAACGTACATGTTTCTGTAGTGATCATAGTAATCTCAGTTTTAACTTTCTTCTATTTTTCAATTTGTGCTGTGAAATAACAAATTTTCTCTCTGCGTTTCACCCCCTTATTTACGCATTTTTCATGGATCACGTCTCTTACCTGATTTGGTGAGAACTTTTTAAATTCCTTCCATAATTCCGAAATGTCTGTTAGAAAAAGAGTATCAGGATCCATTGCGATTATCTGAAAAATGATTTCAAATGAAAGTCTGAAATATTACGCTTAAATGTTTATTTTCACATTCTTATTAAAGTACAATTTGATTTATTTTGAAATTGGCTTGGCAAGTTTGCACAGAACTTAAAATGGTTGCTTTTGTGTGGCAGTTCATTCCTTAATATTAGACTACAAACGCACTCCAAATCAAACTAGATTTATGTTTGGGCATTAAATGGTGGTTTTTATTAATTTGTCCGAAAACTATCAGGATGTCTTTAGTCTTGATAATTATAGCAATTTCCTGTTTGTTAACTAGTTTCCTTGGCCT